TTGGGCCGGTCAGGATTGAACTCCAGGCAGGGGGCAGAATTAGCCTGCAATACCACATTCTAACCACTGCGCCACCAGGGCTCCTTAAGTAAACTACTGTAAACAAAATGCATAAATCTTTGTGGAGATAACTACTATTACTAATTGAAGAATTGAATGCTGCCTAGGCTAGGCTTACTGCATTAATTTACTGGACCGAACCATAAGCTTAAAATAAAGAACTTATTATATACTTAATTTTAGCAGCCCAAATGATAATTGTGCAACATTGAAAAACTCTAGAGAATGTAACAATTGGGTTCTGAATTAACGAGACCTCTTCAATGACTACATTAGAAAAAAACCCACAAAGTTAAATGAATGAGATATCAGAGGCAGGAAGCACAATTTCATCAAATCTGGATTGATTTTATGGTTTATCTCAATGGCTTATAATCCATTGGAATACTTCATATATACATGGCGGTACCTGTCTATTCCCATTGTAGTAAATCTTTTTCATATTTTATCTATTTTTCCTCCCCTCTTCCTTTGGTACCTTGAATTTATGTTAATGTAGTTGCATGATGTTGTCTGTTAAAAATGGATGTCCGAAGACGTCTCCATGGTCATGTGGCCGGCATGACTAAACACCGAAGATGCACGGAATGCTGTTACCTTCCCACCAAAGTTCCTATTTTTCTACTTGCATTTTTACATGCTTTTGAACTGCTAGGTTGGCAGAAGCTGGGATAAGTAACGGCAGCTCACTCCGTTACACAGTGCTAGGGATTCAAACTGCTGAACTGCCAACCTTTCTGTTCGACAAGCTCAGTGTCTTAGCCACTGAGCCACAACATCCATAGGAGGGAGGGACAAAACTGTGCAAATGAATGTTCACAATCTTTAGTTAATCAACCAGTTAGATTACCCTTCCTGAGAGTCTACGTTTGAGAGTCACTATGTCATGGGAGAAATAAGGGAAAGATCAGCAAGGGTGAAAATTTAGCCTAGTGCCTATTGGAAGCTCCATTGCATATATGCATTTCCCAATTTACCTTGTGTCATAAGCTGTATCCCATCAGTCATCTCCGATGAAACGTTAGGAAGGAGAGGAGTAGCAGTTGGTGATGGTAGTGGAATCACTGGAGCAGCAGCATCTATTGTTTCCAACTCTGCAGTTGGATATGTACTGGTCTCTGTCTCAGCCTGAGTCTCTGTTAGAAGCTTTGAATGTTGAGTTAGTTCAACACCTGGACTGCTGGTACTAAGTAGGGCATCTGTCAAAAAGACTTTCTCTGATGTGTCTAACACTGCCTCAGGTGCTGGACCTGAACTGTCTCCATTAAACTGAGTCCTTTCATCATAAGTCCCAGAGGGTAAGCCACTGATGAATGGTGCCCCAGATGTTTCTGAGTAGCTTTCAGATAATGAAGATGTTTCTCCACCTGGTTCATAATGGGTTGAAGTTTCTAGGTGGCTTTTTGATAAGACTGATGTTTCATCCCTTGTTTCATTAAACAAAGGAGTTTCTACACTAGTTTCATGAAATGTGGATGCCTTGCTACTGATTTCATGATATTCTGGGGGTGATATGGTACTTTCAGGATAGGTAGAAACTTCTGCCCCAGATGCGGAGGCTTCCACACTGGGTTCATGAAAATGGAAAGACTCTGTTTGTCCAATCAGTTGCTGTTGAACTGTTGGTCTTGTCACTGTTTCTATGGAATCAGTTATTAAGATAATTTCTGGGATTCCAGAGACATCACCACTAGCACTGGCTGTGGTTGAAGATGCTCCACTTACATCAGTGAGATCATCAATTTCTCTACCAAAATATGGAATGCCAGAGGAAGTCCCGCTGAAGTCAACTTTCTCAGATGATACTCCACTAGATGTTGTCACATCATACAATGCTCCAGATGTTTCCTCCTGTCCTGAAGGAAGCCCACTTATTTCTAATATCCCGGATGTCCCTTCTCCTAATTCTTGTGCAACAGAGGGCTGTGTTACGACTTCCACCAAAGTTGTATCCACAAGGGAAACTGTAGGAAACCCTGATGTGAGACCACTATAATCATATGTTCCAGATGAAATGCCACTGACAAGTTCAATGCCAGAGCTTTCTCCACTAATGTCTGTTAGTCCACTAGGAAGTCCACTGACTTCAGTAACTCCTGAAGCCCACCCACTGAAGTCCACTTGTCCAGAAGAAGGCTGACCACTGACATCTAAAATTCCTGGTGTAGTGCCTGATAGATCTTCCTCTCCTGAAGGTAATCCACTTATTTCTACAAATCCTTTCCCTTCTTCTTCTTTAGATGAAGGAGTTGTCACTTCAAATAATTTAGTATCAATGAAGGTAACACCTGAAGGCTCACCACTCCCATCAATACCTGAAGGCTGGCCACTTAATTCGACATCGCCACTTAGATCAGGTGTCCCAATAGATGTTCCATTGAAGTCAAGTCCTGATGGTAATTCACCGATATCAGGTGTGCTGGATGGTTCCCCACTGATATCAGTTCCCGAAGAAAACCCACTGAGGTCAGTGGTCCCATTGGCATCAGCTCCAGAGGGCAATCCACTGGTTGTGCCACTAACATCCCAGTCAACAGAGGGGAAGCCTGATACATCTCCATCTCCACTAACCCCAATTGTCCCTTTCCCTTCCATTTCCCTTTCTGTTGCTGTGGTCACAACTTCCGTCAAAGTGGCATTCACCAGGGACACAGTAGGAAATGCAGATGTGAGACCACTATAATCATACTCTCCAGAGGGTGAGCCACTGGGATCAGTACCAGAATGGTCTCCACTAAATCCAGAAGGCGACCCACTAAATTCTGGGATCCCTTTGCCTTCCTGGAGCCCAGGTTCTTGGATTCCTGAACTAATCACTTCTTCTTCTCCAGAAGGTAAGGTGCTGACTTCAATAACCCCAGAAGATAGGCCACTTTGGTCTCCTGAGGGTAGCCCACTTTCTCCAGAAGGCAGCCCACTTATTTCAGGGACTCCAGAGGGGAAGTCTCCAAATCCTGAAGGCGTTTCACTAGGTTCGACCGTTCCGGTTATCTCTGGGGCTCCAGAAGTCCAACCAGAAGCAGATGTCTCTGTGATTGGAGCTTCTGAACTTGTTTCATCAGGTATGGCATCAGTGGGGAGAATGGTTGATTGACTCTCAGCTGGTGGACTCACTTGCATGAAAGAGAAAGAGAGAGCACAGATGCAAGAGTGAACAGTCAAGCAATACAAAAAGGAACATCAACATTAGGCTACGTTCAATGCCCTTTCTTAAAAAAGCAACATTATTCTGCAATGCATGAAATATATATATTAGCATATAGATACAAGCAGAGGTGGTTTTCAGCCAGTTCTGACCAGTTCTGGCAAACTGGTAGCAGAAATTTTGAGTAGTTCAGAGAACTGGCAAACCGGCATACCACTCTGTCTGGCTCCACCACCATCTATTTGCTGCCTCCCGAGTCCCAGCAGATCAGTTGGGTATTCTTCTATTGCCCTGCACAGGAGAACGGAGCTGGAAAGCAGGTTAGTGGGGTGGGATGGGAAGGGAGATTTTACAGTATCTTTCCCCCAGGACTGGGGATGGAATAGAGATTTTGCAAGCTTCCCTTGCCACATCCACCAAGCCACATCCACAAGCCATGCCCACCAAGCCATGCCACGCCCACAGAACCGGTAGTAAAAATTTTTGAATCCCACCACTGAATACAAGGCTACAGAACAAGAATACCCACCTTAAGAAAAAAGGTTTGTCCATTTTGGTAATCAAAACTGGACTAATATACCAAGAGTGAAATTTATAGTTTTTCTCTAAATGTAATATTCAGAGTAAATTTCACATTCTTCCACTGAAGTTTTCATTGTCGCACATCTGTTACTACATCTATAAGTTCTGCATCATTTTAATTCTATGGTATCACCTTCAACTTGTTTCCGAATCAGACTTTATCAGGTTATAAATAAGGCCACACAGATATTCTGAGTGATACATTATAAAATGATTAAATTCATGTTGTTTCTGCAGTTATTTTTGCAGTTATTTTTGTACTCCATTTTTATGAAGATAAACTCGGTGAAGTGTACTAGACCATTGTGAAGAGTCTCAAAAGATTTTATCTTTGTCTTGTTAGTAATCAAATATTGCAATCTAAACACATTGTTCTCTCTCCACTGAATGAATTTCAGTGTTTTGCTCGTCATAAAAGTAAACAGTTAATTACAAAACAACAGGGGAACAATCAGGACTTATTATTTTTTTGTTTTATCCCAGACATTTAATATATTACTTATTACTGCATAATGTATTCTGCAGTTTGTTTCTATTTGTATCAGATTAGAAATATCTACGAATGCCGTCCTCACTCTCTTTAATCTGTCTCACCCTTTTGAATCCTGTAACATCTTGAATTTAATCCTTGATCTTTTATTGGAGCATTTGCAATTCATTACTCATTGATGCCAGTTGCTTAAAATCTTTTCAGTATGTACGGGAATCATACAGAATAGTAAGTTAAGTCTTGGTAAAATATTCATTTTGATAGCGGCAATTTTTCCTAAGCGGAAAAGGTTTAATTTTTCCCATCGGGAAACATCTGCTGTATTATTTCTCCATCTCTGTAAATAAGTATTTTAAACCAACTTCTTATTATTTTTGTCAAATAGATTTCCAAGAGCTTAATTTTTTGGCAGTAGTGTTAATGCCCATTACTTGATGCAGACATAGCTTTTCTTTCTCTGCTAAAGTCTATGTCAACATCTGGGGGATTTTCGTTATTGATCTGATAACCTGAAAAGAGGCCATATCGCTGTATTTATTCCTTTAACAGTCCTGCGGGTTTTTGGTTTGTTTTGCGAATTTACATCAACATGGCATAGAGATTTTTTTAGGCAAAGAATCTGACCAGTTTCAGAAAGCTGCAGACATCAATGGATTATAATGAAGATATTTTGTTCAATTCTGTGTAATTCTCAGAGTGTTCTGACTTAGGCTTCACAAAACCATGAAGCAGACTCCTTGTCCCAACAAAACCCCTTTTTATTAAACTAATGTGAATTCCTCTCATTCACATCCAGCAAAATCCCAGCAAACAGTCTTTCAAGGTGTATTTACAACCACAGACCTTATCAGGAGATAACGAGAGTGCCAGCCAATATCTTCCAAACACAATGCTGTACAAGAAAATACTTGGCAAGGAGTCTCTGAGAGTCATCAACAAATCTTCACGCTAATTAAGCGAACTAATTGTTGTTTGCAAACTCTCCTGATAAGGTCT